AACGATACACCGAACCACTGTCAAATACGATCTATTGATGGGTTTTTTTTTTTTTTTTTTTTTTTTTTTCCACTATGAGCAAGAGATCGAATCAGCCGTGAAGATGTGCTACAAAGACCAGGAGGTATGAATAACAGGAAAAAGGTATTCTCAATACTTGAAAGCTCCTTCAAAAGTAAGGAAAGGGGTTCGGCAACACGCAGAACACGCTATTAGCAAATTCCTGTGGCACCTCCTTCAATCGCTGGAAATGCCAATTGCTGCAGAAATCATTCATTATACTCTTAATTTGATTTCTTTTCCCGGGCGGCAGTTGACGAGAATGCTACACAAGCTTCATGCTGGTTTCCCCTACCACTCTGCTCTGATGAAGATGCAGTCGTAGGCTGTGTTGTCAAATATCCGTAAATACCCTTCAGAATTGCTGGACTTTTCGTGTAATCGCCACTACATTGGCAACTAGATGAGATGTCACTTGCAGTGTCCAAGTGTCCAACGGATTCAAAGGAGAGTCCATAAGAATTTTTGCATGAGCTCAAATGGTCAGGTATTCTTTTACCATCGATGGCTCATATCAAAATGCAAATAAACAGCTGTCGCGTTAGATGACCGAATAATCAGCTTCCAAAGGCTTTATGCAAAAGATTTCTGAGCCGGATTGTAATGAGAATATGACTGGTCGGTCTGCGATGGAATTGTCACTTGAAGGTGACAGTTTTGCAAAATGTATGACATAGGGTCATTCAGGGTTGCCCGATGCCCACTCATAAAGCAATCGCGAATTTTCCGCGCGGAGCTGGAACAGAAACGTAAGGTTTTATTCTTAAATTTTCCATACAGTATGAGACTCATTAAAAATTGGACCGTCTTAAAGTAGATACCGTGCATTATAAAACCGAGTGTGTTTGAAGCCAATTGCTGTATGCCTGGGATAGAGGAAATATTAAATCGGTGCTTATCGCGATATTTTTTTACAAGGCAACGTAAATTTTAATATAAACGGAGTAACGCACAATTCGTAAATCGAGAAAAGAAAAAAAAAAGTATATAGAGAAATCGTAATGCTGTACCAATTTTGTGTAATTTTGTACCAATTACCGACTCGCATGTATTATATTGAGAAAATTAGACAGTACCTGTAGATTTTTGCAAAAATTCCAGGGAATATCTGTTTATGATTCTCTGTTTATTCGTCACCATCCTCTTTTTAGGTGGAGAGCAATCTAAAAGGCAAACACGAACTCTTAGTGTTCGATTGCCTACGATAAATTACATGTCAGACAAATATTAGACTTCACACACTAAATAAACTTATTTAAAATACGCAGAATATCACTTTAATCCAAAAATACGAAGTCATCAATGCTGTCGTGCTATGGAAAAACGCTGTGTGAACATTCGAGAGTTGCCAAATTTTATTCGATAAAATATTTATCTTTTAGGAAAGTTGTGAATATGTTTCCTTTATATTTTCAGAATCTTCAGGTAGAATTGCGATCTAAATCTGAATAACTTGGAGGAAAATATTCATAAAACCAGGAAATTTGCGTTTTATCATAGGAAATTTGGCAACGCCTGAAGGTGCATACGGCGATCTTCTTTAGCACAGCAGAATGGAGCTCGTACCATTTCGGCGTTTTGATAATCAACAATGACTACCAATAAGTTAGTTAGTTAGTTATTTTTATTTACAGACATTCAGCATCCTAGGCTATTAACGTCTTCACAAAGAATTAGGAAGAATGATTTCTTTCGTGAAAGTCCATATATTTCGTGAAAGTCGTGGTAGCCACTCCGGCCTAATCCTAAAAAACTGCCCCAAAAAAGTTGACGACCAAAGAAAGAAAAAAAAGAGAAAAAAAAAATTAATAATACACTCTTAAATCAACAATCCACGGAGCATAACTCAATTTTTCACTCACCTGTTTTTGTTTTTCTCTCTTTGTGTTGCACTCTCGTCAAACAGGATCAATAAAACATGAGCAGAAATTTCCATAGTTATAATGCAAGTCCCTCGCATCGGGAGAAAGAAAACGTGAAATAATAGAATCACTCAAACCGAACCGGTGTCCAGCATTTGCGTAGTAAGTCCATGAGTTTTCAATGACGAATACCAGTTATGGAATATCGGTCCTCACGTCTGCCTCTGAGCTGAATTATTGTTCTTTTTTTAGACCGGTCCCGAGCCATAACAATAATTGAATTTCTTTTCCCAGCTACCTTTTTTTCAACACACTAGATACGAACTACTTGACTTCGATTTTCAATTTGCGTATTCGGTGGATTGTATGGGCTGCATTTTGCTTGAAGATCTCCCATAAATTATGTCAGGAGGGTGCGGGGACAGAGACGGCCTAATAGGTGCCTGCTGACCGATTCTTGAAATTGATAGACAAGGCTATGGACAAAGAAGACAAAAATGAGTTGGAGGGATCCTATTGGTGGGAGCTGGTGCTTGCAATGACAAAGGAGGTATATCGACGGTGTAAGTCGGGAATCATATAACTCGGTTTTCGACGTCGCAGACTTCCTATCATACTTTATTTTTTAAACGACAAACTACTCAACGGCTATCTTGTAAAACTGTCGTGATTTTTCGTCTCTGTGCGAAGGAAATTCTGCAAAAACTTCAAGAAATGATGTCAATTTGCTCTCTTTCAAAAAAATAACACGGAGGCGGAGATTTTCAGACACCGCAAACGAGTTATAATATGTGATTGCCGACTTACAACGTCGCAACAGAATCGCTCCATACTCCGTATGTCTTCTTTGTCTATAGCTTTGTCTATCGATTTCAGTTATCAGCCCGTTGATAAGGGATCAGAAGAAGTTTAGACGGAAAGTGCCTTAAGTTTAAACGTTTGAGAAGTACAAGAGCAAAAAAAAAATCGGCAGAAAAGCTTGATGCGTAACCAGGCGAGTCCATTTCTTGTAAACTTTTCGTTTTGTATGCATTGCGTCCTTTCATATTTAATATCATCAAATTTTGGTCAAACGGGTCATAAGATCAAATGCATTTCAATCAAAAAGGGAATAAATTGGAAGGTTTGAATATATGAAAATGACTCTTACTGTCCATGATCCATATACACAATTGATCTATTGCGTGGATATCAGTGAAACTGAATATGCTTTGATTTGTCATTAGCCAGCGACACTTTCCAACTTCAACGTTGAGTTTGCGTCAAAGAATTAATAGATTTTTAGCGGATATGCGACGAATTTTTGCATTGGAATTTGGAGCTTTGATTCGCCTTTATCTGGCAGTATAGTCAATGCGAGCTCTTGGGAACACGAATAGCGGTATCTTCTAAAGCAAAGTTTTGAGAGATTTCATAGACTTTCAAGTAGATGCGCACTTAGTTCTGGCAACGCGACGTTATTCTGCATTGATCCGCCTTCAACTGGGAAGCTAGGCACCACGAGCTCCCAGGAGCGCGAATAGTGGTATCTCATCAAAATTGAGTAGTGTGTTGAGTTAATCTTTTGAGCTGATGCGAATGGAGATGTTGCATGTGTGAGAAATTTGCGATTTGATTGTTGATTCTTAAGTAAAAGTGCCCGAGAAACACGATGGTGCCACTGGTTTTCTCTGAAATCAACTCCCAAGCTCAAAAAAAGCTCTCAAGTTGAGGCCAAAATGGAGGAGATATCCCACGCTATCCTGAGAGTCCACATCTACATCAAGACAAACTCTCCATGCAAAGATAGGGAGCAAATACAGTGACAGGGTTGCCACTTTATTTGGGGGCTCGAAAACTGAAAACCCGGCATCCCTGCTAATGTATTTGTTCCCTATCTTTGCATGGGGAGAGTTTGTCTTGATGTAGAGGTGGACTCTCAGGATAGCGTGGGATATCCCCTCAATTTTGGCCTCAAGTTAAGAGCTTTTTTCGAGCTTGGGAGTTGATTTCAGAGAAAACCAGTGGCACCATCGTGTTTCTCGCGAACTTTTGCATAAGAATCAACAGTCAAATCGCAAATTCCTCACACATGCAACATCTCCATTCTTATTACCCGAGGCACAATGGATTGAGTCAATTAGAGAGGTCGGACACGAAATTTTTAACTAGATCTGCAAATTTTGATGTTTAATTCGTCACATTTTAATTTTCGAGGGGTGCTAATAGAAGGATTCCTTGATTATCCCATTCCCGAATTCCTGTCTCCGTTCCCTCTCTCAATCCATTTGTTCCTTGACGTACCATCAATACCTACCCAGGTCCATTCCAGTTAATAATCTTTGCAATTGGTGAGAATGTGATCCTTATTCCCGTTTGTGACACCGTGGACAGGGCCGGATTTACATTTTTAGCGCCCTAGGCTATATTTAGGGTGGCGCCCCTAAAAGCAAGCGCTTTCGTGGGGGAGGGGGGGAATCCCCCCAGACGCCCCTCCCCTCCAGATTAGAAGGAGGATCCTAGGTGTACGGGATGTGTTCAAATTCACCTTTAAAAAAACACCTTTGTCAACCACAACGTAGACATGTTTTAATAAGCCACGTTTTTTAATAAATTCTCAAAAATTTTGCGCCCCTCAAAATGTTGCGCCCTAGGCTACAGCCTATATAGCCTATTGGTAAATCCGGCCCTGACCGTGGAGGCTTAAATTAAGGGAACCAATCAGAAATGGATCCGTATTGCCTTTACTCTAATTATAAACGGACTCTACCCTTAACGCTTCTCTACGAGAGCGCGAGGCGCCAAGCGTGCTGGAGTCTGGAGGGCGTGCGCCCCGCTACCCGGTCGCATCGGGGCCGACTCGAAGGCGGAATGACGAAGACGAGAGAATGGGCCGGGGAAACAAAAAGAGGGCGCGGACGACGCAACCGGCAGGCGGGGGCGGGAGCCGAAGCGCGGGCCGAGACATTGGACGACAGGACCCCGGCGGGAGGGGCGCGCCTCCTCCCTACCCCCACCCACCCCGCCGCCCAACCCCCCGCGCGGAGACAAGCAGCATTATCGGGTAGATAGCGCCTCCTCGAGCCTCGGCAGTTGCTCCGGACAACGCGCGCAAGTCTCACCGAGCATTGTCCCCCACCCGAAATCTTCGTCTTCGTTTTGTTCGCTCCGCGAGCTTTGTGTTCCCCGGTCCCACCGCCGTGTTCCCCGGGCGCCTCGCCCGGTCTCATTCTATTCCCGCGCCGGCTCACCGAGGGTCGTCTCCACCGCATCCGCGATCTCCACGATCTCCGCGCTTTCCACGCTTTTCCGCGCTTCCGGTTCCGGGGTCGCTTTCCCGGCCGTCACCGTGACTTGTGGTGTGTTCCGCAGTGTGAAGTGTCACCTATCGACCGCTATCAGATAACGAACGGGTGATTGATAAGGGATTTTGTTTTACGCTTATTCCCAGTGCGATCAGAGTTTTTTACAACGCGATGCGGCTGATTTTGTGCCGGTTCAGTTGGGTCTAAGGCCCGGTTTTCGCGGATCTTACGGCTGACTTTTCCTGATTTTGTGGAGGGACGTTTCTTTCGGCGATAGTGAGGAGTTTAACGTGTCAAAGTGATATTGATGACTGTCACGTAGAGGTGAGTTCATCGATGTTTTTTTTTCTACTTTTTATTTCGGGTGAGGTGGGTCGGGTTTAATTGCAGAAACCGCAGGTGATTTGCGGCGGTTAGGACCTAGTCGCCTTTAGACCTTGAAGTTTATTTGTTCTGATTTGGTAAAAAAGACGTTTGACTTGTCACAACGAAGTTGATGATAGTCACGTTGAGATTATCAATATTCGTCTGATTTTTTATTGGGCTTGATCAAGTTATAAGAGCGCAAAATTCGGCTACTTTTAAGGGATATATTGGTCTAACGATCCGGGTTTTTTTTCTTCTTCTTCTTGGAATCTTCACTTTAGAGGTGGTTATTTCTGAATGTGAGGAAATTACATTTGTCTCACCGATTGTGAGTAATTTGCCGTGTTAAAATGATACTGATTCCCGTCACGTATACGTAGAAGCGAGTATGAAGTTGGGATTTTAAATTAAGACAATCCGGACTTAAAAAGGTTTTTTTTTTTTTACTTAAAAAAGCAACCTTTTAAACTTGTAGTTGAGACACTTATAAAACTGGAAGACTGTGGAAGGTATACAAAATATGTAAGTTCTGAAACTCTGTTGGTGTTTTAATTTCTTAGACCATACTAGGAAAAAAATAGAAAACTATTATCTGAATGCAGAAAAGCAAATCATGACACGTTCTGATGAGCCGAAACTAAGATGATATTTGAGGGTTTTTTTATTGAGCTATGGAAAAGTATCGACAAACCAAATAATAATAGATCAATAAATAATAAATGAACTAAGAAATGGTACCTAAAAGAAAAATAATCAAGAGTTTGGAGATATCCAGTCCGTCCGAAAAACATTCAAAAATACTAATGACAGTACAAATACGTGAAGAAAACTTTGAAAATCATGATAGATTGGAATTTAGAAGCAAGAATCTCTGGATACGACAAAAAAATGAAGCACGAGTAAAAAGAGCCCCTTGAACAGCATAACTCTGAAACAATGTCTCAACAGAAAAAGGGGAAAAGAGATGAGATTATCTCAAGTACGTTTATCAAATCATTTGTGTTTAAAAAGTAGCGCGATTTGATTAAGGTTGAAATTTTCCCGCAAAAAATCAAACATTTAACCAAAGAATTACTGAACTGTTTCGTCGTATATGATTTTAATAAAGCCTTTCTACAATCAATCCCTCTGTTTAAAATCCTTAATGTGCTCAATCGTGGCTTTTGCTCGTGGGTCCATGAGCGTGCCTAAAATGGAAAGCAACAGAGACATTTTTTGATGAGGAATGAAAATTTGAGTTGAATTGCAGGCAAGAATAGTTCGGTCTCATTAATCTCATAAAAACTTCGTTAATTCGATGCATATTATTAAAAGATCAACATTTGACATTTTTTAAGGATGCTACAATTTTTTTTTTCATTTCTTACATAAACTTTAAGTTTACAAAATGCAAAAATCACTCATTTGGAACTAACTGATCATCTGGGCAATGAATAAAAACAGCAGCCCGTAAAGATGTTTCCTCTGTCCCAAGAATCTTTCTTTTTTTACTGATTTTAGACAAATTCAAACGTTTCTGCAAATTCTTAAAAAAAAATGTCTCCATTTCGCCAAAATTTATGTTAAAAATTCTAAGAATACGAGCAAAAGAGTTTCTTTGGACGCAAACAGTCTTTGCAGAGATGAAAGATTTGCAATACAATTGCAATCGTAATGTAACGAGAGTTGTAATAGGTACTCCACTTGATATCGATGTCTTATAACCCACTTTAATCATTTCCTGCAAATTTCAAAAAGGTGCGTATGTATCAATTTCCCTTATCAAAAGCCAAGAGCATTAATTTATTGTAAAGTTTGAAATCTTAGTAAACCCTAAATTTTGCCGGTTACTTCATCAAAATAAAAAAAATTGATTCTTAGTCCATATTGAACATATAGAGATGTATTCAGCTTTGAAAAGAACTTAAGTCTCCACGTTTCATAGTCGAAGTTCTCTGCGAGGATTTCGTTCCCTAAACGTGATGAACTTTATTTCCGTCCAACCTCACTCTAAAGTCAAGAAACAGAAGCGCTTATTTCAATGCAATATAGGCCAAAGTCTAAAAATAATTGCAATCGATGACATAAATGTATACTTCTCTAAGGATATAGTCAAGTTAAAATTGATAATTGTTTATCCTCTAACAGGCACTCCACTAATTTGCCTTTTTTAGTTCAAAATATTATTCACCTAGAATTTTTCCTTCATAAACGTATATCAATCATATTTAAAAACCAAAATAAAACGAATTAAATTTTTTAGACTTTCACATGATTAATTGTAGATTTGTAACACCCTGTCTAGTTGCAAAAGTAGGTTACCACTTACCAATAGCATCATTTTTGAAGAATTCGCATTTGACAACCATAAAAAAATAATTTCTTGCAATAACCCGATAGTAACAACAATTAACTTGCCATTTCCAAGACATGCGAGCAAAATTATATTTGCAAACAAGTATAGGCTCGCAAAATTTTCCTGTACAAACTATAGCTATGCCAAGGAGCTTTGGCCCGACACTTCTCAATATTTTGGCATTGAAAGTTTTCCTATTTTTCTGCCGAGTACTTGCAAAAATCAACAAAGGTTTAATTAATTGCATCGTCATTCTTTTGTAAGCACATTACTGTTACAACCCTTCTCCTTTTCTTCTTTCCTCCTCTTCCTGTCACCTTTGATCCTCTACTTTTCCTCTTTCCTCTTCTTCTTTTCTTCGTTCCTCTTCTTCTTTTCCTCGTTCCTCCTCTTCTTTTCCTCTTCCCTCTTCTTCTTTTCCTATTTCCTTTTCTTCTTCTCCTCTTTCCTCTTTTTCTTGTCCTCATTCCTCTTCTTTTTTCCTATATATTTCCTCTCCTTCTTTTCCTCATTTCTCTTCTTATTACCTTCTTCCTCCTCTTCTTTTCCTCTATCCTCCTCTTCTTTCCCTCTTCTTATCCATTTTCTTCTTATTTTTTTCTGTTTTGAACGGAGAAACTTTTTTTCTGGAAAATGGCACTTGAATAACGATACAAAATATACACTAAGATCATTCTAAGCCCCTTATAAAGTGTCGCCTCCCTTAATATTTTTCGTTCCCCCATTTTTTCCACCCCTCCCCCTCCCCAAAAATCTGCTCATTTCCGAGCGGAGCATTTAATTACTCAGCGCGGAAAATCTCGCTGTAAGTTCGACGGAGCGATTGAGCATTGTCTCTGGCTCCCGGGTCGGTTCCCGATAGATTTCCCATTTTCCCTGCCTCCGCGGATGCTCCCATGATCCGAGCGGAAAAATGAGACCCGATTGTTTCCTGCCTCTCGAATTTCCGCTAATGAGTCGCCGGAGCCGAGAGGCGATCGATCCCCGCGCTGCGGATGAAATCCATACTCCCGCACAGTAGATCGAGTCCATAGGAGAGGTCGTACAAAATTTGCAAACTTTGAACGCCCTTGACTCCGTCAATACACGATTTTGAGGTTTCAGAAGTGGCTCCGTTGGGTTTTCCGCGAAATTTTGATTTGAAAGCGCACCCCCAGGGTGTCTACAAGTCTGGAATTTCCGGAAAGTCCGGAAATAGTGCTAATTTCATAAGGGCGGTCTGGATTTTCCGGAAAGTCCGGAAATAGTGCTGATTTTATAAGGGCGGTACGGATTATCCGGAAAGTCCGGAAATAGTGCTGATTTTTTAAGGGCGGTCCGGAAGTACTGGAAAAATGCGGAAATTCTGCAAGGAGGTCCGGATTTTTTTTTCATTTTGTTGTCATTTTTGTCACAATTCAAACGAAAAATTGAAAATTTTCGAATGTCGTCAAATGGAGGTACTGAAAAAGCGCTGAATTTTTCTGTAGAGGAAGTACTGAATTTCCTAGAAATGCACTGGAAAGTACTATGAAAGTACTGATTTTCGGCCAGCCTGTTTTACTAGACACCCTGGCCCCTTAAAGTTTAAATGTGACGAAATAAACATAAAAATATTACAGTTTTATTCAAAAATTTCATGTCCGACTTCTCTAATTGACTCGATCCACTGTGTGCCGTGCCAAGTTAGAACACCGTATGAGCCTTCAGTCGTTGCCAAATTTTCCCAAAAAAATCACAAAGTTTCGGGGAAACTCGTAAATATTTACGTTCCAATTTTTCACAAATGAAAAGAAAGAAAATGTTCCAGAAATTTTGGAATACGATTCATAGAATATACTGTTTAAATTGATGCGCGAAATTTCAAGAAAAAGACTACGCTTAACAGAATGTAAGGCAAAGCAGATTGTAAATTTTAGCCCCATTTGAATTTGAATTTTTGACGAGAGACGATTAACTACCTGTCATTTGATCATTGCTTCTCTTTATTTAATGTTTTCTTATTTATTTTTTTCTTATTTTTATTTTTTCGCGGTCAGACTCCATTCTATTCATCCAGTTCAGATCAGACAGATATACAGGGATAACTTTGTCTAATTCTTTGAAATATCTAGTTGTGACATGACCCTTCAAACCCGCTACGTCCAGTTTCCACGGTGAGAGATGAATCTTCACGGCACGTTGCTGAATTGACACAACTTTGCGGGGTCAGCGAATACTTCTTACAGATGTCATTCCATTGTTCGTGGTGAAAAGCTAAAATTGCAGAGGCTTGGATTGATCTTGTCGTCATTCTTGCCGACATAATTTGCTACCGTTCGCGCCGGCACTTGCATTTTGCCACCCAAGCATTTTGCGAGCCACTGCTCGAATGCACAATCACGCGTGGGCGACTCATAACTTTACGAGACCAACACATGTAATATATCAAGCATTATTTGATAATTGCTCTCTTCAAGTTGATTAAACTGTGCTTTGTGAATATAACAAAATTTGACTTCAATTGACTAGAATTTACCGGTTGGAAAGTGGCAGGTCTCTACCTCTAAGCGCGGGATTGGGTAAATATTTCGGATGGTGTGTAATCGCAGACTTGTAGCGCTGAATCCGACGGTTACATATTTTTTTTCTACGTCACTTAAAG